GTAATATTTCGATCTTTTGTTTGTTGTGGAGCGGCCGCTTTCGCTCCGGTCTGTAATTTCTTCTTCTGGTTCTGTCCTCGTGTTCCGGTTCACAAGAACCGTGAAAAAAGACCCAACAATATTCAGCAGCTAAACAAAGGCTCGTAAAGAAAGTCGGTGCAATGTTTATTACCTCAGTGTACCGGTACACCAGGACACAACCGGCAACCCTTGTTTATCGTAGCTTCCCTTTCAGCTGTTTCTCACGTTAGCAGTCACGCGTAAACAGTTGTCGGATCTGTTAATCGATCTGTCAAGACAAGACAGTAACTCAACTGAGCTTTGCAGAGGGTGCAGATTAGAAATGAACAATAACATAGACAAAGTAATACATTAGAAACAAAGAAATACAAAGTTACTACCATTTTTGTTCATCCATGAAGGGTGACAAATTATTTTGTGCTTAGTTTTACTTTTCAGACATTGAAAGTTTTGCCCGTTGTGTAACTTTTGACCAATGAAACATTGATGGTTATGTCAACATGTTTGAATGGTGCCACAAATGTTATAAATTTCATGACACAAATGTGAACATTTCATTGGTCAAAGGTGACATGTAACAGACAAAACCTTCAAGGTTTGAAAAGTAAAACTACATGCTAAATTTGTCACGCTTCATGGATAGATGCAAAAGGTAGTATTACCATTTAAATGGGGAGTGAATCAGGATCATTCAAATGGCATAGGCTAATCAGAAATCTGGCGGACAAACCAATAAAATTCAATTACACACAGCATTAGTAAGAAGTTCTGTGTGATAAAAAAAGGTATTTCTTCATGTGGTAGACTTAAAATGTGACTGCAGTTCTTACATGAACATAAAATCTTGCAAAATATTATTTTAAGCTTAAACCACTACAGCCATTATTTTCAACCTTTGGATGTTGTATCTCAGTTGGGTGTTATTTTCGAGTTATTTCTCTGATTTAATACTGGGAGATTTAATCAGTGTCAAATTATCGAAACTGTTGTAACAGTACATGTAATACTCGTCCTTTCTGGTATTAAAACATGTCTTTCTTCCTTGAAAAAGAATCTTTCAAATGCATTCCACAATATAGAGGAAGTCTGTTTATAAACACTGTTTTTTATTCAAATTTGTTAACTGATTTTTAACAAGACTCATTGTTTTCACAAACCAAGGTTTTTCCGATTGGCTCATCAGTAACAGGGGCTGATTTCACCAATATCTTTACCACATGGTGCAATAATATTACTACAGTTGTCTTTAATTCAATCACATGCATGCATTTTTCAATGTTTTTGTTTTTGTTTTACCTTCAGTAGAAATTAAAGACTGTTAGAAAGCCTTTTCCAGGAAGATGGCCTCCATGTCAGGTTTCCAGTATACACCAGAGAACTTGCAAAGGCTGGAAAAGGTGAGTAGAAATCCAGATAGCAATAAGCACTTAATGACTGGCCCCAAGGGAAACAGTGAGTTTTGTTTCTTTGAGACCTTCAATGTTCCCCGAGGCGAAAGCCGAGAGGACAGCCAAGGGGAACATTGAGGTTGAGGGGACACAAAACTCGCTGTTTCCCGCAGAACCAGTCATTAAGTGAAGAAGCTAGTCATAAAAGGGGATAAGTGACGATTTTGGTTGCTTTTCTTTTTTTTTGCTCCAAATTAGCTGAATTTTTGCATGTGGTCTTCAATATAATAGAAAAACGTGGTTCTGTATTTTTGTCGCTGATTTTTGCTTTGTTTTCGAGTTAAAACGTAGGCAAAAAACTTGGCTTTTCCTAGCCATGTCTTTAGGAGTTTATTTGTTGAACAGCAAACAGGCAGACTG